CTCTTGGCAGAATGCGAGTTATTGCTGCAAACTGACTGCATCATAATATATAAATTATAGCACAGCAGATCCTGGCCTTTAGCCTATAAAATCAAATGCATGTTATTTTAAGATAAGATACCTTTATTAATCCCACGGGTGGGAATTTTTGTTAATATTTAAATATTATATGTAAATGTCCTAATTACTTATTTAACTGCTTTGATCTAGTGGAATGTCTTCCTTCCTCCTCGTTTAGGATTTCTGTGACTGCAGTAAAATTCCCTCCATCCATCACTTACCCCACGAGACCTAAGATAAAAATTAATTTATGATAATCACACAATTCTCACTAATTGAACTGAATGCCAATATGCATTTATAATGAACATTTACATGATCTGCACAACTTTGTTTATTATGTTGTTGTTTTCATGAATGACCGGAGGGTCTGTCCCAGTGAATCATGGGACAGCATTTTCTCCTCTCTATTAAGAAAAGATGGCCCAGTGTATGCTGCTCCAACAGAGCTGATATAGGAAGCACCAAAGCTCCTTTCCTCAGTATTTGGGGAATTGGAGCATCTCTTATTATGGCGACTACACTACCTCTGGTCATCACTCTCATTTAGGAACATTTCTAATCAAAGTGGATCATTGGGACTCGTGGCGTTACTGTCACGGCTGGCGGGGTGAGCCGTGTGGGGTAGGAGGAAAAGGACCCAAAATGCAGGCAGTTGACTGGTGATGAGAGTGATGTTTTATTTACAGAAGTGGAGCGACTTGAACAGGCAGTGAGAAAAGACGAATGACTGAAAAAAAACCTAGACTGGGAAAACTTAATGACAAACCTAAGCATGGGACGGGGAGCGGAGACTGCAGAGCGCCGTCGTTACACCAACAAACACAGACGATCCGACGATGAACAGAAGCCAACACACACTATAAATACACACTAGGTAATGAGGAGATGACACGCAGGGGTGGACACAGCTGACACTAATGGACATGATGAGAGGCAGACCTACAAAGTAAAACCGGAAACACACAGACTGTTTCACAACAAAACGCAGGGACCTGAACGGAGCACAGAGGGGAGACACAGGTAGGGATAATAAACACGACAACCAACCCAAAGAATTAATACCAAACACAAGATGAACCCAAAAAGAAACACAAAACGCTGGGTCAACGACCCAGGATCATGACAGTTACACTCCTTCCTGCATATACACTTCCACATCCACATTACATGTGAATTATAATCAAAATAACAGGTGGAAGATTAAGAACAAATGAACATACAAAAATGAGTTTTAAACAGTTCTGTTAAACAAACCACTGATTCATTCGACCGAATCGACTGATTTTTGAAATAAGCTGCAGTTATAAGGTGCCAGTGTTTAGAGTTAATCAAGACCAGGACAAATTAAAGTTTAGTGGAACTAAGAGATCCAAATGACTGGAAACCATTAAATGTTTCATTTTTGCAACGTTTCAGATTAAATACATACGATTGGGGAAAGCTTTGATATGTGAGATTCAAATGCTTGTCAAAAGTAATACCAAGGTTTTTATCAGATGATTTGATATTGCTGATGTAAGGGCTCTCCTCAGAGAAGCTGCCAGACCCAAACAGTGTCAGTTTGAGACATCCAGTTAGTTAATGGCAGTGGAAGATTGCCTGAGGTAGCTGTTGAGGTTGTTTGTCTTACAGCTGTGTATCATCTGCAATGACAGAAGATGCTTTTGAAGCTGTTTAGTAGGATAGGATATGTAATGAAAATAGAATTGGTCCAAGGATGGAGCCCTGAGGGACTTCATTTAAATTTATACGTACATTTCAGAATTCGTATTATTACAAATATGTCTCTCGGTGAAGTCTGATGAGAACCATTTGAGAACGTTGTCACAGATACCAACACAGTTCATCAATCAGAATGGCATGATCAATGGTGTCACCTGCTGCAGGTCAAGTGGGAATGAAATCAAATATTTCCCAAGTGCATAAGAATGTCATTAGTAATTGTTAGTAATGCTGTTTTCAGTTTTGTCAATAATCAAAAGTGATTTCATACTTTCTACCTTCAGTGTTAGGCAGAGGCGGAGCCAGACATTTGAAACACCCAGGGCTTAGCCCTAAAGGGTAGTATGCATTTTTTTTTCTTTTTTTGGGGGGGGGTTAGAAATGACTGAAAGATTAATTGGCTCTGTTTTGAGTTTTGTTCAAAAAGAGAGATAGCTTTAAAGCAGCAACAAAGCTCCAGAAGGAGAATGGATTAGGACTGTCACGATTAACACGCCACTATGGAGCTCCAGTTGTGGAAAAATCTAGCGACAAATTATTTTAGTCAAAAACAAAGAAAAACACGGTGGCACGGTGGTTAGCACTGTTGCCTCACAGCAAGAAGGTCCTGAGTTCAATTCCACCATCAGGCCGGGGTCTTTCTGTGTGGAGTTTGCATGTTCTCCCCGTGTTTGCGTGGGTTCCCTCCGGGTACTCCGGCTTCCTCCCACCGTCCAAAGACATGCAGCTTGTGGGGATAGGTTAATTGGATAATCCAAATTGTCACTAGGTGTGAATGTGAGTGCGAATGGTTGTCTGTCCCGTGTGTTAGCCCTGCGACAGACTGGCGACCTGTCCAGGGTGTACCCCGCCTCTCGCCCTATGACAGCTGGGATAGGCTCCAGCCCCCCGCGACCATGAAAAGGATAAGCGGAAGTGAATGGATGGGTAGGGATTAGCTTGAAAGAACCAGAATCAGAACTAGATGATAGTAGCACTAAAAATCATCATAGACCTGCACTACACTTATTTTTTTAATTCTACCAAAGTACAATATTTAGATTGAGAAAAGTTTATATAATTATTTAGCCTTGTTGTGCAAACAAGCCTGCATAACTTAATAAATATAGAATTTGAAAAATAACAAACCTAAAAAGAAACACTAGGTACGAGATACATGAGGACCTATGATACGGTGATACTTTTGGCAAACGACCATTTGACTAACATGTGTCTCACCTGCTCTTGTTCATCTCTGTTCTGTCCTCATTCTCCATCTCCCTCTCTGTTCCTCTCTCTCTTTGTGCTGACAATCATCAAATATACAGATATTTACAAACTCTTCAGATAAAAACACTTTTTTAATTGTAACATCAAATCAGACTAAATGTTTATTTTTTTAGATTGATAAATATAAAAAACATATTTGTTAACTTTAAGAGTAAAGAGAGAAACTATCTGTATTTCTTAATTGCAAATGGCACCAAATTGTATTCAAACTTGAGCCACACTTATGGAGCTCCACAGTTCTTTTCCTGGTGTTTTGGTTGACATCTCTTGATT